AACGGATAAAGGAAAAAACATTAAATTTTAAACTCAAGTTTTATTTCGGCCCGAGGTCAAATGATTAGATTTTCGAAAAGGTCGGAACATCTGGGGGTACTTTATAGGAGGTCGTTTTTATATTTTATGGAATATATCCGTTATTTATGTTTGGAGAAGAAAATTGTTTAAATAAAAGTTACTTCTAATATTATTATCTATAATGTTTGTTTTGTGCCAAATTTTCCTGAAATGGTCCGTATTTGAGAAATTTGACAAAATGTGCAAAATTCTGATTTTTAAGAAAATTGTTAAACTAAAAGTTATTTGCGATATCGATCTCTATAATTTTTGTTTTTTAAATGATTTTTCTAAAATGAACCGTAATGGAAAAATTGGAGGAAAAGTGCTAAATTTAAATTTTTCAGTATTTTCGTTTTCAAAGAATATCTATAGAAAAATGTATGTGGAAAATGTATATATTTAGTTTATCCTCTAAACATTTATAGAGGTGTTGCCATAGGTTGCCTATAATAACTAGATAGGAAAGTCATGTGTTGGACACATCAGATTTTTTATTATTTTATTTGTGTTAGGTACATAAAAAATAATTTTTGTTTTTAAATTTAAGAAATTACTCGATCACGCATTTTTTTGAGCTACATGATAAAGTGGTATCATTAGAATAGGTATTTAATGTTAGGAAATGAGTTTTAAGTTTATGTTTGGAAGCAAACAGATAATGAACTTCTGTTTAGAATATTAATTTTGAAACGAGTAAAAAGTTTTATGAGGAATAACATTTTTTAAAAAAAGTGAAAATAAAAGTGTTTCTTCCTCTTTTTCAGTTCATCCGGGAACACCGTACACAGACTTAAATATATTTACTATGCCTTTTTTCCATTATTTTTATTTTTTTGTTATTGATTAATCTATTGTTTTTCACAGTTTTTAGTAAATATATTTATAAAAAAAGTCATTATTTATGTTTTAGAACAAAAATAAAATAATTTTTTTGCTCTACTTAAAAATTTATAAATTGTTACTTACAAGGTAATGCGTTTTGATCCTTGTTATATAGATTTAAGAATAATACAAGAACATATAATTTTTAAAAAAAGCATATTAAAACTTTTTTTAAAATTGTATCTATATAATTAGATACATTTAATAAAACATTTAAAAACTAATTATTCTCATTAATTTTAAGTCTTACCTCGTATAATGCTCTGTCGACTTTCCTAGTTTTATCTCTAAAATGAGTTATTTAGTCTAAGTAATAATGTCACTTATTATGGTTTAATTCCATCAAAGGGTTCGTACGCTAGAGCGACTTCGCTACTGATATAGCTACAAATAGTCATTAAATTCCTGTCAAGAAGTTGTAGCAACAATATAAGTTGTCTGGAAGTTTAGAAATATTGTGCGAGGTTTCCTGATGGATTATTAAAAGTTTTCATATTTCCTTACCCTCTGTTCATCGCGGACTATTTTAAAACAGAAGAGTGAGGTTAAACTTAAATATACTTTGCTTTACCGGAATAGAATCATTTTCGCTTCATCAGAATTCAGTGACATATCTGCGGGGGTTGTGGAAATCAGAGCATCCATAAAGGGATATTTCGTTTATTTTATATATTACACAGTACAATGACGTCTTATAGGTGTTTAAACGTCCTTCGTTAACATGAAGAATACTCGGGACGTAAATGACACGTCCATTAAACGTTCTAATGTTTATTTACACTTCACGAGACGAGCTGGCAACGTAAATCAGACGTTAGAGGGATCATATTTTAAAGACTCATTGGAATTTAATATTTTTTTTATTATCTTTAAATGTAGATAATGTATACAGGGTGTACCAATAAAAACTCCCAGGCCGGATATTTTGGTAAGTAATAGAGATATTTTAATTCTGTAAAAGCCAGTTCATAGAGCGCTAAGAGATTTTCAGTTTTAGATATAAATTGATTTTAAATAGGTCAATATGTAGATGGCGCTGCGCTCAATAATTATTTTTCGATGGAAGAATCTTTCTTATGTAGCGCATCTTGTAAAAAATGCATTTTTAAGTAAATTTTGTTCCATGAACTAATTCGATAAATCTAGCCATTTTTGACATACAGAGTAGGTCATTCAAAACAGTTTCATCCTGTTTTTCGGCATTAATTATTGTATTTTTGGAAAATGCTAAAACAGGTCGATTTTAATTCTAAATTAAACACATTTTTGCAATACAGACATCTGTCCTGTGTCAACCCCCTCCCTTCCACTTCTCCAACCCCTTAATTTTAAATAAGGAATGTACCATGTACGGCACATCATTAAAAAGGTAATTTTATGGGGAAGTCAGAAATATGACAGTTTATTGCGAGCCTTTTAATTTTAACGCCCTCTATCGGGATAAAAAAATCTAACGTATTTTAAAGTGTGACACTTCATTTGAAAGGTAATTTAAATACTAATTCAATGCGCTACATAACATTAATAAAAATATTTCCATATTGCACTTGCAACAAAATAAAGTTAGCAATAATGTTTAAAATAATTGACTAATTTTTAAACTACTACAAGAGCAATGTGGATATTTATATTAATATTAAGTTATTAATTAATGTTATGTGGTACATTGAATTAGTAATTAATACGTAGTTTTTTATCCCGAGGACGGTAGAATTAAAAGTATCACAATGAACAGTCATATTTCTAAATTTCCCATAAAATTACCTTTTTAATGATGTACTACACATTGTAGTATCACACTCTATATTACGTAGTAGTTTTTTATCCTGCTAGGGGGCGATAAAATTTAAGTAACGTAATTTACAGAAATATTTCTGAATCCCCATTAAATTACCTTTTTAATGATGAGCCATACATGGTACATTACCTATTTAAAATTAAGGTGTTGAGAAGTACAAGGGAGGGGGTTGACATATGACATATCTCTATATTGTATAAATGTCTTTAATTTGGAATAAAAATCGACCTGTTTTAGCATTTTCCAAAAATACAATGATTAATGTGACCCACTCTGTATATCAAAAACGGCTAGATTTATCGAATTAGTTCATAGAACAAAATTTGCTTAAAAATGCATTTTTTATAAGATGCGCTACACAAGAAAGATCCTCCCGTCGAAAAATAAATATTGAGCGCAGCGCCATCTACATATTGACCTATTTAAAATTAATTTATATCTAAAACTGAAGCTCTCTTAGTACTGTGTGAACTGGCTTTTACAGAATTAAAATATCTCTATTACTTACCAAAATATCTGACCTGGGAGTTTTTATTGGTACACCCTGTATACTTTTGTAATAAAGAATAAATACTTATCGAGACAAACGAACGCACCTCAAAGTCAGTGAGTTACGCCAGATTTGGTACCGTTATAGTTTAATATTATAAAATCCTTAATACAGTGATCATTCTAGCAAATGTGTTTTAGTACCAGTCCCGAAGTCAAATATACAACATTTTCGCGTCGAGAAACTAGTAAAGAACCTGTAATAAAGAAGCCTAGTGGACTAAAGCTTTATCAAGTAATTCCTTGTCATTACCAGTCACAAATATGCCATTTATGGGATCAATAGAACAATTCAAACCCAGAGAAACAGAAATTAGCACATGTATAGAACGAATGGAACAATTGGTCCTCTGTTATCAAGTCCAGGATGTTAAAAAGTGCCCATTTTTCTTAATCTAATAGGAGGTGAGGCGTTCGGCGTACTTAAAGGTCTACTGTCCCCTGACCTATCCAACAATCAAACATATGTACAATTTAAAAATATATTAATTAGTCATTTTAGTCCGAAGAGTTTAGTGAGTGCTACAAATTTTACAATTATCAAGAAACCAATGAAAGTATAACCAAATACTTAGAGAAACAAAAATTATTCCAAACATTGTCAGTTTGGGCAATTTTTAGACGATTAAATTAAATTTATTAGACACAGAAAACTTAACCTATACAGATGCCTGTAAAACTGCATTAGGAGAAGAACTTTTTTCCCTGGGCTCGTCTGACTATGTGTCTCCGAATAACACTGAAGCCTATTGGCTTATTGTGTTTTACCCCATGTTAGTTCATAGTACCCACTCTATCACCTTTGTACCTTGTACAAGTTTGTACAGATCCTTGGGTGAGTGGGTTCTATACGTTGTTGGATCAACCTGGAGTTGTCCAAAAAGAGCCTGTCTTTTGCGATCTAGAGCTTCGCATTCGCACAGTATATGTTTGGCCGTTTCTGGTTTCTTGTGACATAGTCGGCACACGAGTTCCCCATTGTACATGCCAATTTTGTTCAAGTGTCCCTTTACTGGGGCGTGCCCAGTCATGAACCCAGTTATCACTTTCAACTGGTTCCTATTCATTAAGAGTAGTTCTCCAGTTCTTTTGGGACATGGTCTGCCTATGAAGGCTTTTCCATGTGCCTGTTTTGGGGTGCTTCCCCAATAGTTGATATGTTGTTCCCGAATCCAGTCATTTATAAAACCTCGGACTGTACTTTTTGGTACTCCTGGGTTTGTGTCTGGTTCCGGTGTTTCTTCTGACCCTCTTTTTGCAAGTTCGTCAGCCTTTTCGTTGCCTTCGATCCCTTTGTGACATGGCACCCAAAATAGTTTTACTCTATTTCGGTCTGCCAGTGTTCTCAGTTCTTCGATGCATTCCCATACCATACCTCGACGTAACTTTCTGACTCGATATGGCCTTAAGTGCCGCTTGGCTGTCTGACAGGAGAAGAACTTACTTAAAGTCAAGCTAGATCGATTAATACAAGTCAGAATAGTCAAAATACTAGTAGTCAGAAGTCAAGTAGTCCTCTTAATATATTTACTAGATGTGGAAGATGGCATGAGTTGTCTAAAGTCTGTTCAGCCGTTAATTGGGAATGTTTTATTTGTAAAAAAAGAGGCTTTACGTCAAAAGTCTGTCGATTTAATAAAAATAAAATAAGTTACTGAAGAACAAGATAGTGAAAAAGATGAAGAAAACAATTAAATTACAAAGTAATATGTCAGTAAGTCAAATAAATAAAAATAGTCCAGTCAAAGAAGAAAATAATAGTCCAGTTGAAGAAGAACATAATAGCTTAATTAAAGAAGAACATGAGAGTCCAGTCAAAGAAGAATATAATAGTTCAGTAAAAGAAAAGGTAGAAGAGAATGTTTATAGTCCATTCAGAGATATGTCAAGTCTAGAAAAGGTAGAAGTAGGAGCAATTTCTAACATTAAGTCTGTAAGGTCGGTATCCGCTTTTATAAATGTTTTTATAGAAAAGATTCAAATTAATATGGAAGTTGACACAGGTGCTTCTGTAAGTTTAATGCCAAATGTAGATTTTGTAAAATACTTTAGTCACATTAAATTACTATCTTCAGATCTAAAAATTAAGTAGCAGGAAAAGTGTTAGTAAATGTAAGTCTCGATAATATTATTTATGTTAAATTATCTTTAGTTATAGATGGTTGAGATAATAAATTTTGTCCATTGTTACGTAGGGATTGGCTAGATGTGTTATGACCAATGTAGGAAGCTAATCTGAATAATAATTCAATTTATCCTGTATCCTCTATTGTAAATGTCCTCCAACATCTAATATTGATGAAATGAAATTGAAATTTCCTAAAGTTTTTAATAAAGATAGAACTACACCTATCGAAGGTTATACAGCACAGCTGGTTTTGAAAGAAAATGCCTCTATGATTTTTCATAATCCAAATCCTGTACTATACAAAATCAAAGTTAAACTAGAAAAATAATTAAAGGTAATGGAAAAAGAAGGAATCTTAGTACCTGTTCAGAGAGCTGAAATGGTTAGTACAATAGTATGTGTTCCAAACAAAAGCGGGAAAAACTGCATATGTGGAGATTTCAAGAAAACTCAACCCAAATTTGAGAACAAATTACTACCTACTACCTATGTTGGATGAGCTTTTTAACAAACTTAGAGGTAGGAGTGTTTTTACTATTAATTGCTTATTTGCAGTTAAGAGTTATTAACAATTAATAGTCATTAAGGGTTAATGCAGTTCACTAGATTACCTTATGGTTTGTCTAGTGCTGTAGCTATTTTCCAATACACTATAGAAAAAGTTTTAAATAATCTTGAAGTAGAAATAAACCTAGATGATATAATTTTTGTAAAAATTATACTGAGTGTATAAGTAAAGTAAATAAAGTCTTGCAGAGATTAGATGACCATAACAGTACAATTAATGAGGATACATGTGTATTCCTTAAAGAAACTGTTTGTTTTATAGGATATGAAATTTCTAAAAGGGGTATTTGCCCCCAAAAAAACTAAAGTGGAAGCTATCTGTAAGGCTCCTACTCCCACAGATATAACCCAATTAAGGTCCTTTCTCGACTTTATGCAAAATTTATTCCGATGTTATCTACTAGTAATGCTTCACTTTATAAATTGCTAAAAAAAAGGAAGAACTTTTCATTTGGACTGTTAATTCTCAAAAAGCATTTGAGTAAGCTAAGCATGCAATACCCAACTGTGTCACTCTGGATCATTATGATCCTACCTGTCAAATTGTTGTGGCAGCAGATGCTAGTAAGTATGGACTAGGCGCTGTACTTAGTTGTGTTAAAAATTTTGAAACTCGCTTTGTTTTGTATGCTTTATGTACATTAAGTGCTGCAGAAAAAATATATGCTCAAGTGGAAGAAAAGGTTTGGCTATGGTTTTTGCCGTGAAAACCTTTCACAAATTTATTTATGGAACATTTTTATTAATTACAGACCACTTGCCATTAAAAACAATATTTGACAACGTTGAACTATCATTTTATCCACATATATTATATAAGGTAGTTCATAAAAAGGGTGTGGAATTAGCCAACTACCCTTAAAAGTATATTCAAATCATTATCATTTTCAGTAGAATCCTTTTTTTCTCTCACAGCTCAATACCTTTTATTAGAAACAAAGAGAGGCCCTATACTCATAAAAGTTACCGAATTTACAAGTTGGGATGGCCTAATCATACTGTTGATCAGTCATTAAAACCATCCTTTTATCGAAGAAATAAGTTTAGTCTTGATAATGGTATCGTGACCTGAGGAAACCGAATTATCATCCCTTCTTCTTTAAGAACATCAGTATTAGAGCTATTACACGATCAGTATCCTGGAAATACCCGGGTTAAACTTAAAGCTAGATCAGATATTTGGTGGCCTGGCATGGATAAAAATATAGAACAAATTGTGTCCTCTTGTGAGCCTTGTCAAGCATTTGTACACCAACAAAACGAAATAAAATTAATACGTTGGCCTATTTCAAATAAAAATTAAGATAGAGATAGATTTTCTTAAAATAGAAAATGTAGTTAGACTCTTAATTGTAGATTCTACTACAAGTGGGTGGATGCCTACATTATGGCTTCAGGAACAAATGCAGTAAAAATAATTGAAACATTGAGATACTCATTTGCTTTTTTTGTTATTGGAAAAGAAAAATAAGCACAGAAGAACAATACCTTATTTTATAGAGGGGCGTGGTTCAAAGCCCACTTGTACTGAAGTTCTAGGCTTATTGTACCCCTCACAGTTTCTATCCCATCAGATTGATTTTCGTGATGAATTCAAAAATATGTCTGATGAGCGCTTTTGCGATTTCTTCAGGTTCCGAATATTGTACCCCGAAGTACCATTTCCATTCCCATTTAAGGTTCCGATAGTGGCATAGTATGTAAATAAGAGTTTCGTCCTCCTTTTCACATATTCTACATAGGGAGTCATTAGATATCTCTAACAGATTAAGGTGTCTTCTAAGGCCGCAGTGTCCCGTAAGGAGTCTTATTACGGCCTTGAGTTCGCTTCTGCTAAGGTGATACAGATCCTCTTATCTCTAAGAAAGTCATTTAGAATGCTTTGGCGCAGGCATTTATTGCTGTTACTTCAGCCTGGAAGACTGTTGTCAGTGACCCCAGGTTCAAACTAATTGTCCTCCCTAAGTTCACATAGTAGCTCCTGTACTGTTTTGCATTTTCAAACCGTCTGTATACAAGATTGATTCGTTTTGTTTTTCCTATTTTCCTGGCTTTTGGCCTTTTCTGGAATTCTTAGTACCGAATTTTTAGAGGGACAGCTAGATTGATATATATATATATATATATATATATATATATATAGATATATGTAGAAAAGGAAAAGAGATAGATGAAGGTTAAAGTTTTAAAAGCTTTAAGTACATGTACCTACCTAGTATGATGCCAAAACAAAGTGAAGTTCGTCTATTCTGACAATATGAAGAAAGACCAGACTGTTGATTCGTATATTACCCCTGTGGTTAATACATCACCAGCTAATTTAGAAAGAGGTGTCGAGATACCGATTATTAGAGAACATCAAGGAGATCAAAATACTTATGTTGCTAAATCTATAGCTTCCAATAAAATGGAAAAATGTAAAAATTCCCTCTTCTGTAATCCCTAATACTCCCAGTTCTACTTTGCGATGCTCTTCGAGGATTGTAGGTTAGATTTATAAGTTTAGTTTTAAGGTGTAGTGATTTTTATTTAAAAGGAAAGAAATGTTGTAATAAAGAATAAATACTTATCAAGACAATTCAACGCACCTAATAGTCAGTTGGTAACATTGATATGAGAGGTTAATTTAGACATATGAGCAACGTCAGATTTGGCGCCGTTATAGTTCAATATAATAAAATTTGTATTTGGTAAACTCCTTAATAAAGTGATCGTTCTAGCAAAGGTGTTTTAGTACCAGTCCCGAAGGCAAGTATACAACATATACTTAATAAAAGATTTTAAGTAAAGTAAATAAGCCTATTAGACGTTCTATAAAGGTCCAGAATAAATATTATCAGAAACGGGACCAAAATAGGACATCTTAGTGTTTACGATAATCGAAAGTCCAGTCCGATTTAGGTTTCGGACCAACCGAACCAACTGGACCAACAAGATACCAAATTAGGACGCCTATGCGACGTCCTGTCCTATCTAGGAATGTGTGTGGCAGAGAGAGAACTTACTTCCTGACTTAATATGAGCATATTCGGATATAAAATTTTTAATTTGCCACTAAGCTTTTTGCAGAATTTAACAAATATCACTAAAGCGTAATTTGTTATAAATAACCACTTTTTAGCTTCTTGCGTAATATACAAACTACGCCGCTGATTACAGCACTTCTATTTAATGAAATAACTTCATACTTTCTCGAGTGTGCTTACTTGAAAGTTTTAAATTTTAAGGAACTAGTTTGTTTTACTTCATTAGAACCAGAAATGCTGCTCTAATTAGTATTTATTAAGAAACTCAAAATGATTACTTCAAATTTTATTTTGTACTCTTCGCTACGTTTATTAAAAAAATTCGCTGAAATAGTATAAAGCTTTTAGTGAATTTTATACAGGGTGTTTAAAAGTGAAATGTACGCACATTAACTATAAGTGCGGGACACTTGGGTGAAAGTACTATTTTAATAAAACACACAGAACTGTTGCAACCATATGTGCAGGTCGTACGGCGCACGACGACGCTGTCGTGCAAAATGCGCTGCAGATTTTTTTTTCCAATGTTTAAAAAACTATAGTTAGAAAGAATATTTTTAGTTGGTCCGAGTAGGCTAGAATTAAGATTAATCACAAGTAAGTGATAATATCTAAATAAATAATTTATAAAATGTATTATTTGATTATCTATAAAATGACATGACCTATTTAAGTTGATTGGCCCTGGCCTATTGCGTATTTTATTCTATTACTAAACGCTGTGCGCTCTCACTATATTTCTGAATTCGTTTTTCACAAGTTTTGTCCTGTCGACTGGCCAGACGAGTTGTCTGTTGTCTGGCCTCTATAATATAGCACTGCAGTTTTTTAATAAAAATTCATTTTCCTTATAGCATTGGCTTTTGTCTTTAGTAGTAGATCAAATCGCATCAATTAAAAAAGATATACCTATTTGAAGCTGAAAGTTTTAGTTTTATTAAGTAGACTAATATATAAGATTTGCATTGTTTTATACCTACACAAAAACCCTTCACACTACATAGGACTTCATTTCAGGCCATGAGGGATATCAGGGCAACAAAAAAGCCGATGAATTAGCCCGAGAAGGCTCAGATAAGGCCATCACAGGCCCCGAACCCTTCCGTGGAGTTGCTAAGACATTGTGCAAGGCATCCGTTAAACAATGGATGCAAAAAGAGTCTCAGGAATGGTGGAACAACTATCCTAGACTGAGACAGGCCAAACAGTTCATCAAGGAACCTTCGGCTATGTTTACGAAAGACCTACTGGATCAAAAGCATCAAAACAGTAGGCCTTCTGTAAAGCAAC